CTTCTTATGGGTGGGGGGAATGTTCACCCTGGTGTATCTGGAGCTGGTGCACTGCTCTTCACATCTGAGGGAATTCTTGCTTTTATGATCCTTTCCTTTGTTTTCCAAAGTTTAAGACCTTGGGATCCTTTGAATGACATTGCTCAATTTGAGAAGAATGGGATACTTCAGACCATGGAGCGACACTTATCCACGGGGATGTCAAACCACAAAATGACATGCATAAACAATCAAGTTACACGGCACAAGGTACAAAGCCTTTTGGGGGGAGTGTTGCATCCTTTGCAACTGACTAGACTGCCCTTTCCTGCAACATTTTTTTGCAATGACAGCATAGGCTGAAAGGTTTGGATTTGAGTAAATATGACTAACTCCAGAGTTGCAAGTAATTTTATTTGACATGTCCTATTTTTTTTAGTATTTTTCTTCCCATCCTGTGTTAGTGTCACTGACACTGGGTTCTGAATATGGCTGAGCTGAAGTATTCACTGTTTCCAAAATAATGAGATGTGAGCAAAGTGTCGGAGTGCAAAACTAAGGGCCTGCAACTCAAATTTCAGGCCTTGTCATCTGCCTTTATTACCTACTTCCTCCTAGGGAGGACTTGTAACCTCTGTCCGTCCTTTATGCTAAAGAGGGATGGTGATTTCACCTTGCACTGCATTCATCTTCAGAGCAATTTATGTCATTCATAAAATGCTTTGCAGGTGTAGAACTGCTGAGCCACTTAGATATAATCCATATTACACTGAAGAGCTTGTATCTTGATATGAGCATAGACTTTTCTTTTGTAATAGCCAAAATCTGAATATATTTGAAACAATGGGAAGGTTTAGATTCAGAACTGTTTTTCAGACCCTCCAATAAGAAGTATTTGAATGAATAGGTTTTGTTTGTCCATCCTAGATGTAGGAAGAAACCTTGCAAAAAGCATCAAATTGAAATATGAAAGTTCTGTGATGCTTAAGTCCTGTAGGCACCTACTGAAAAATCTGCCCTGAAAAATCTTCCTTCTGAAAATTTTGTTCTGAATCTTTCTTCTTTTCATCCTTTCTTATGTAGCACTGGTGAGTAAACAATTCAGGAGAATGACTATAAAATTAATTGCCAGCATGCATCACTTAAAGCTAGGATGAGAAAAACATGGATGGGTTTCCTAAAGAGAGAAAATAGGTTTGCATTTGAGAAAATGCTTTTGTACAGGGCATGTGTGTAAAATCCTTAACTAGCTGCCTGGAGGTTAAAGATTGCTGAGGTGGCGGTCAGGCTCCACAGTCTCCTAGATTTGAGGAATGTTCAGTTTGATAGTGACCAAGTCTCCTTTAATGCTAATTTATCTAGAGATCTGCCAAAGATTGCAGGCGCCGAAAAGCCAGTGATCAGCCATCCAACCACAGCCAGAACACAGAGAGCAGTTGTTCGACGCCAGAGTCTGTGCAGGAGTTGTCAGATGATGACGGCAAGTATTTGGGTATCACCTTTACCAGGCATATTCCTTGAATCTGGACACCACCCAGCTGGTTGATACTGAGGGCATGTAGCCCACAGACGAATGCAGAGGAAGTTCTGCTTTTACATTTCCCTTGCTCACCTGTCCTGCTCTTTTTTTTCTCATGCTCTCTGTGCCGACAAGGGTTTCCCAGCTCTTGGTACAAGCATGTCAAAAAACATGCACTGGAGTTCCAGCAGTCAGATAGGAAGCAGTCCTAGTTCCACACTCCTTTTTCTCAGCTTTTGTTGGAGGTGACCTTGAATATTTCAGAGATGGGAACAGGTGTGAGCACAGCATTCCCCGTAACTAGGGAGCAGGCTTGGTTTTCTGCCAAAAAAAAGGAAGTTTCCTGACAGCAGAGAAGTGGCCCTGAGCCAGTGTCACCAGACCCGTTCTATTGACCTCCATAGTCAGGGTGGAAGATCGTGTCCCCCATCTCCTTTTTCCCTGTTTTCTCCTGAAAGTGTCCCCCTTGGTTTGTTACACACTCAGGGGTGAGCCTTAGTGAGCCTAGATGGTGTTTCACCATTGCCACCAGAGATGGTAACGCAAAACATCATATCCTTCGTTTACTTTGCTGCAGGGTTTGAAAGTTTGTGCACTCAGTGTGGGAAAGAGATGAATCACTTGAAGGAAATACATTCAGCTGTCTTATCCCTACAGAAAGCCCAACAGGACATACACAGGTAACCATTTTTCCACATCAAAGCATGATCATAATGGCTAGAAATTACCTGTATCTGCTGTGGCCTTTAGGTTGACTTTATCAGTCTCTGGGTGCAATTAGCAACTCGAGGTTGTCACGAGGTTACATAACACACCAGAAACACAAAGCCAGTGCCCAGTGATAAAATCTTAGTGATGTAAAAAGCACACTTAGATCTGTGACACTTCCCGCTGCAAGAGATTAAAGGGGCTGGACAAGGTGCTGGCTGTCAATCTCTACAAGGCAAGAAAGCACAGGTTTCTCTTACTACCAGGCATTGAGTGTGTTACAATTCGTCCGCTGAGCTCGCTGCTGAACTGCAGCCCTGTGGCCCAAGACTTGGGCTCATGCCTGCAAAGCAGTAGTATTCTTGCTTTTGATTGAAATGACTAACCGTTGCCACCACAGCGTTGGAGAGAAGCCAAGTGTTGGTCGCTCCTGGCTAATGAAATGCTGGCAAATCCTGAGGTGCCAGGATCCTTTTCTGTGTGCAAACCCGGGGCTCTTGGTGCACACACGCGCGTGCATGCACACCTGCCTCCTGCACACACATAAGCCTTTTGTTTTCTCTTGCAGAAACCTCAGTTCTCTGAACAAAAAATCCTTCCACAGGAAGGGCTCTTCTGGAAGCTTCCTCCTGGACTCTCGCTGCTGGTTTCTCCTGTGCATCTTTCTCACATGCCAACTATTCATTAATTATGTCCTCAAATAAAAGCACTACGTTTGGCAGCAATAACGATTCCTGGCTGCAGGAGGGGGGGCCACTCGCGCAAGGAGCCCGGCGAGGCACCAAAGCACTTTAGAACCAACGCGGCAGAGGTGGAAGCAAGTTGTAAAACAAGGTGAAAAGGGACCTAGGAACCTGCAACACTTTGTTCCTCTGGATTTTGTCATTTTTGCCTTTTACATGTACATCTTCAAGGACCTCTTAACCTGTATGGGCCTTAATGCTGAAGCCAAATGTAGCTTTAATTGTGCAATTTGTTTTCTATGTCTTGTCATTTACTGATGCAATTAATAATTGCCCACCAGTATTGATACCCCCAAAATAGTAAACACCCCAGCATTTTGGAAGAGTCACACAGGTCTGTTTTATATGACTTACGGAGTGCAGCTGGGGAGCTGTAAAAAAAACAACATTCATGGTGCCTGTCCAGCTGCATTTAATTATGGGAGGGAGCAACACTTGGTCCAAAAAATTCACCCCCTGAATATTAGGCCACGATTTGTTTTGTCAGCACACACAGAACGGGACCTCCAAATGTGTTTTGTTTTCCATTCCACAAGAACTGTAAATATGCACGATTTCCTAGAGCTGTTCCTCTTTAGGAAATGGGAAGTATTCGGTAAAATACTTGTTCTTTTACAGAGCTAATTCATGTCCTGGACTAGGCCGATGGAGTGAAATGTCGGACATGCCTGTTAGTAAAACCTGGTTCCTTATTGTTATTATTTGCTATATGGCTGTTTGTAATATCACACAGTAGCACTGGAGAGAGGAATCACTGCCCCAAAATAGGTGATAAGAGTGGGAGCAAGTGTGGGTGTATGTCTGTTCGATCATAGGCACAATTATTGTCAGAGGTCAGGAAGGAAGAAGGGTTTTGCCACTGCATTGTTCAACTCTGTTAATAGTCTTCCTATTTTACAACTTTTTTTAAAGATCTGCAATATTTTACGTAGACAGCAGACAATAATAAGCCTTTCTTTTCTGGCCTGAAGTAGTTCCAAGTGGTAAGTACTGCTATATATACAGCCTTAAAATACTTAGTGGTGGTGCCAGTCCGGGCTATCTTTCAATGTAAATGTTTCCAAATTTTTAATTACATTCCTTGTCATATTCCCCAATTAGGGGAAACTTGTTTGTGCTTGATATGTTGAAATAAAACTACACACAACTTTCACTGACAGTTTATCTGAAGCATTATTTGTGTGTTGGAACTTAGATTTGTATTTTAGAGCATTTTACAATTGTCAACTCTTAGGCCATGCCTAAGGAAAACAATAGGAATAGGCATGAAAGTTTCAGAGAGAGACAGTGATTTAGAACACACTAGTATTATGTCTTTGAAGTGTAGTGACTTCAGCAAAATAGAAAAATGCTTGCCTTGATTTTGAGAACTGTCTTGTACATAAATTTTACAAACTTGTCTTTAGAAAGACCTAATATTTAAGGAGATAACTTGATTATAGTGAATAGGCAATCACGTGGAGAGAAAAGTACAACTCTGACATGATGAGATAGGGTAAGAACCAGGAGGTTTGAGTAAGAAATAAAACACAAATACTAAAAAAAGAGACTGATTTCCTTACCATTAAAAAAAAAAAAAGTTCCAGGAAAACAAAAGATTCAGCATCTGTGACATATTCAGTTGAGATGGGATCCTTTTGGGAGGATGTCATCTTACTCGCTCATTTTTGGGAAGGTCTAATCTGTGCTGTATGCCATGTAAAACTGGGTGACAACAGGTCGCTCTGACCTTTGGCTACAAAAGAACCATTTAAAGTATCTGCCTGGCTATGGAAAGGCACTTAGAATCTTGAAAGTGTTTGCTCCTGATGTGCAACATGTGTGCTAATTTCCTGTCTAAGTCCTTTCGCTTTAAATGTTTAGCAAGTCAGAACGTCTCTGGCCTCTGTGAGCAGAGCCTGCCTTTTCACGCAGGTTTCCTTGTGGGATGCTCTGTTAGAGCAAGTGATAGGTCCCTTCCCTTCTCTATAGGGGTATTTTATATTTCCTGGCACAAATACATTTCAGGTTTTAGAAGATAATTACTAAAAGAAAAAAAAACAGCCAAAGGGGAACAGTGTTGAACAGGCAGACACTATTTAAAGGAGTGTTTGAAATACCTTGTATTGCTTCCATTTTACCAAACAATATGCACCCACAGGGGTTTCACTGCAAGTTGTTCCTGCAGTCAAGTATAACAAGTGTTCTTGCCACTAGAGGTGTGGCTGGATAAATGAAACTATTAACCTACATAAACTAATTACACATCAGCAGCAGAGGAGTTTCCAACATCTACAGGCGATTTAAAAATAAGCCAGGCAGGAAACAAACCAGAAAAAGCCATTCATCCTTGTGCCTGAATTTTTAAGGCAAATTCAACATCCGGATGTGGCTGTTCCTATGTGTATGGTGTGGGGAGGGAGAAAGCATTTCGCAGAACCACAGAATGGTTGAGGTTGGAAGGGACCTGTGGAGATCATCTAGCGCAAACCCACTTGAACAAGTAAGGTCAGGTATAGCACATTGCACAAGATCGCATGCAGGCGGTTTTTGAAGCACCATCAGCAGCACAGTTACTTTTTTAGCAACAAAAGCTCGTGTGGAAAACAAACAAACAAAAAGTTGGGAACTCTTTTAGGGAATGGGGGGGGAAAAAAAAAGAGACAGAAATCCCCGGCTGTGCCGGGCAGCCTTCGGGGAGATTCCCCGCCCCTCGCGCGGGCCGCGAGTCACGGAGCAGGTGGGGCCGATAAAGCG